TTTTGGTTTTTCTCCGGTACCAGGAACCGAACTCATGACCTTGCGCTTGCCAGGCAGGCGCTTTTGCCGCTGAGCTAAATCCCCAGCCCCTGGGGCAGATATTTAATAATGACATTTAATAGGTCTTACTCTCAGTCCTTTAGTCCCAAGTTAATTTATCCAATCACCTCGCGACTCCGCCCCTTCTGGGCCCATCTCCTCCACCCCGTGGGGTTGGCTCTTCCTCCACTTCCGGCGTCTGGACCCGGGTGCAAGCGGCTTCCGGTGTCATGGCGGCCTGAGGTCCGGGGAGTCGGTGAGGCGGCTGCAGGCCCCTCCCTGCGGAGCCGCTGGTCCGGCGGGCGGGGATGTAACCGCGGGCCCTGCCAGCCTGCCCCGGGCGTCGTGTCAGCTCCCTTGTCAGCACCGTCAGCCCACACCGATGGCGGGGTCCGGCTGTGCGTGGGGCGCCGAGCCGCCGCGGTTTCTGGAGGCCTTCGGGCGGCTGTGGCAGGTACAGAGCCGCCTGGGTAGCGGCTCCTCGGCCTCGGTGTATCGGGTGCGCTGCTGCGGCACCCCTGGCTCGCCCCCAGGCGCTCTCAAGCAGTTCTTGCCTCCAGGAACCACCGGGGCTGCGGCGTCGGCCGCGGAGTACGGTTTCCGCAAAGAGAGGGCGGCGCTGGAGCAGTTGCAGGGTCACAGGAACATCGGTAATTGCCGCTGCCTCCCTCCTTGCCCAGGTCCCAATCCAAGCGTGCACTTCTTCCGCTTGCAGTCCTGTCTTTCGTCCGTTAGGCGGGAGAAAGGAGTCTGACCCCCTGCTTATCACCCGATGCAGGCCCCTTTCCCATTTACCTTTCGTTTTATTGATGCCTGCTTGAGGGACGGTGGAGTTTGTGGTCTGCTTCGACCAGTGTCCTATGTAGTAGATGCTCAGTAAGACATATTTACCGGGTCTGTTAGGAGAATGTCGCACTCATTAGCATAGAAAAATATCTTTGCTAGTGAAAAGAGGTATGTTTGCTAGATTGTCATCATTCCATGCCAGTGGAAAGTGGGAAATATTCTAGAACTGTGACATCACAGCTACCGTAATAACTTACATAGCTATCAACTAATACATTTTTAGTGTGGACTGGAAAAAAATGACTCAGTATTGCACCAGATTCTTTATGGAAGCATAAAATTTAGAAATACTTTGCTTTTGCTTTAGTAAGATTGTCTCATGACTTATATTCCGAATGTTATGCAAAGATCACTGGTGATTGATCAGTGAAAACAGTGTTACTGTCATTACACCAGCAGAGAGCTTATAATTAGTAATGGCTTTGGTTGATTAAAAGAAGCCTTTTTGGCAAGTATAATCCTTATTTAATTCGAAGAATGACCTTTTTAATAATATAGCGTTGGTAAAAAGTTGCCTAACTAGCATTGCATGTTTTTTTAAGCTTGCTAAATGGTGAATCTTTATACCCTGGATAGTGAAGAGAAAATTTCTGCATATCTCACGACTTGTTGAATCTATAAGAATAGGTTACAGTATTATTGTATAGAATGCTGTTTTGGATCAAGAAGCAAGCTTCAGTTTGTTTTTTTTAAAAAAAAGTAGTTTAATATCACAATTTTTATTTTTAATAATTTTAATTTGGCACCCTGAGTGCAGATTTACTCACCACTGATTGCTTGTCGAAGTGCAGTTTGAATCATTGTGCTTTATTTTAATATCTTTGGTAATAAGCTGTTGAAGGTTGTCTCATTTCATTAAAATAACCTAGTTGTCGGAAGAACTTGTTCAACCAAGTTACCTTTATCTAGACTACTTCAAATTTATATTGCAGTTATGTACTTGAATAGTAGTTTACTGAGTGATTTTTAAGGCATTGTAATTTTCTTTCTTTTTCTAGTGACTTTATATGGAGTCTTTACAATCCACTTCTCTCCAAATGTGCCATCACGCTGTCTGTTACTTGAACTCCTGGATGTCAGTGTTTCGGAATTGCTTTTATATTCCAGTCACCAGGGTTGTTCCATGTGGATGATACAGCATTGTGCCAGAGATGTTCTGGAGGCCCTTGCTTTTCTTCATCATGAGGGTTATGTCCATGCAGACCTCAAACCAAGAAACATACTGTGGAGTGCAGAGAATGAGTGTTTTAAACTCATTGACTTTGGACTTAGCTTCAAAGAAGGCAATCAGGTAAAAAAAAAAGAAAAAAAGTGCCTTTTCTTTTTCCTTATAGTTTAAAATCTAGTGGTCTAAACTACTTATTTTGAGAATAACAAGGACAGTTTAGTTGGAACTGAAGTATTTCTAGCTAAAACACCAAAATTCTTGGGGATGAAAGAAAATCAAAAGAATGTCAGGGCCACCACATGAAAAAAGGACATGTGTTTTGGGTCAGGAAGAAGAAACTAGTACGGCATAGAAGTTAATAAAAGCACTTAACCTACATAGAATTTTTTTTTATTCTATGAGCATTTGGTTAATTGCTGTTCCTGGTGTCTTCAGGGTTGATGCTGTATTTCATGGAAGGATGCACCTGACAGTTCTGGCATATCCTTTTCCATGTTTTATCAGCTCTTTGCAAGGCCTTTTTTTTTTTTTTTTTTTAAAGCAGCAGTGCCTAATACATAAGAAACTATTTGAAGAAGACTTCTTTATGAGTAGCGGTATAGAAAGTATATAGTCTGTCTGTGAGAACTGCCCAATTAATGAACCAAAGAATCAGGTAACCAAGAACTGAAGATTTTTGACATTTAGTTTGGCACTGTTTTATTGCATGTGTAGAGAATTAAATAGACTCTGTTGAGATAGGTGGAAAGTGCACAGCTTTTTAATTGGTTATCGTATTTATTCATTTTCTTTAGGATGTAAAGTATATTCAGACAGACGGGTATCGGGCTCCAGAAGCAGAATTGCAAAATTGCTTGGCCCAGGCTGGCCTGCAGAGTGACACAGAATGTACCTCAGCTGTTGATCTGTGGAGCCTAGGAATCATTTTACTGGAAATGTTCTCAGGAATGAAACTGAAACATACAGTCAGATCTCAGGAATGGAAGGTAAACTGCGCTAATGTTTTGCTTTGAGGTTCTTAAGAATATTCAGTTTGTAATGATTTTTATTAGGGAATCCAATTGTATCCTTTTCTTCAACTCCTCTTTATATATTTATGGCAGCTTAACTACTACTGCTTACTCTTGTGGTTATGCATATGCTAATAAGCATTACATTTTCACTGTTCTTCACTGGGGTTCTGGTGTGTTGTGTTTGATAAAGTACTTAAATGAGTGCATTTTCTTGAAGAAGCAAAGTGATTTCTTTGTTTAGTAATTTAGCTACATTAGTTTCTAAGGTATTACTAATAGAACCATAGATTAAAAGGTAATCTGTACATAATGCTTAATGCTTTATAGTTAAAAACTAATTTAATGTACAGTGTAATTAAGTTCTTCCAACTATTCTGTGAGGATAGAGTGGATATTGCTTATTTTTGTTTAATAAATGAAAAGCTTAGTTGGGTTTGGTGACGCACTCCTGTAATCCACCACTCTGGGAGGGTAGAGTAGGAGGATTGCATGTTAAAGCCCAGTCTGGGCAATTTAGTAAATTAATGAGATACATTGTTTCTGTGGGAACATAAATTCTCAGTTCTAACCCTCTGACATTTGAGTGAAATTATATGTTTACAATAACGTTAAGAATTGTTTTCAAATACTGTGGTGCTTCAATATTGTCATACCAGTATTCTTTAGCCTTGGTTTGACAAACAATATAATGCTCTGAGGTTATTATTGCTTTGAAATTAAATTCTTTGAAATTAAACCGGTATTTAATATGAAGTAATTCATTAAGCAATAACTATTTTTTAAGTCTCTAATACATAACATACTATATGACTACTAAAGTATAATATACAGTTTGATTTCTGTTAAAACTTACAGTTACTATGTCTGGTGTAGCAGTTCTTGGAAGGAATACTTTTAACAGCCTAATGGATATACTTAGTGCTTATTTTTGGCCAAGAAAATGTTGCCATGAGGTAAAACCAGTGTCATTCTTTATTGTTGGTACTCTAAACAGTCAAGAGGATAATCCAAATATAGATTGGTTAATTGAATTAACCTTGACTATCTGTGAACCTTGAAGACTATATTTGCTTGGCCCAGAGCTTATTAGAATTAGGTCACTCTCAAATTTGTGTGTAATGTGAAGGGTACTACATGTATTAAGAGAGTCCTGAATATAGATCTTCCTAGGTAAAACATTTTGTTTTACCAATTTCTATAAGACAGAATTACCAATTGGTATGTTTAGGGTTTATATCTTGCTTTCACCTCTTACTGTTATTATTTATGTTTTCTAAACCATGGTATATGTTCTATAAAATGAGAATAATACCTCATAACAGTATTAAGGTTAAAATATGAAATGTTGCTTAGTTTTTAGCATAGTATATGGCCCATGGTAAGAATTCAGTAAATTTAAGAGATAATGTGATAGCAGGTCATTTTGGGTTTTTTTGTTTTGTTTTGTCTTGTTTTGTACAGTACTGGGAATTGAACCCCATGAACTTCTCACTGAATTTCATCCTCAACCCTTTTCTTAGACAGGGTCTCACTAGGTCACTAATTTGCCTAGGTTGAACTTTAACTTGTGAGCCTCCTGCCTCACCTTTTCAGAGGATTACAAGCATGTGCCACCATGTCCAGCTTGTATCAGGTCTTTTACTCATGTACAGTATTCTGCATTCTGAGTTAGCATAGTACTCAAGGGAAAATGTTGTATTCCGTAAAGATTTAGAGTATGAATAACGTGACAAACAACATTTTAATACTTACTCATTTTCACAGTGATAGTTTATTTCTGTTTGAAAGTCAACTGAAGACTTACTATTAGACACTGAGTCATTTGTTACACATTCATTTTCTCACTTTGCATTAAATTGCAGTTTTTCATGGTTGCTTGGGTTAGATGTTCATGGAGTGTCAGTGCTGTCTTAGGTGCTGAGAATAGAGAAAAAAGTGTTCCTCTTCTCCAGAAACTTATGATTATGTGTAGAGTCTCCTATGTTAAGTTCATAAGCTCTCAGGAGAGCTCAGCTGTGAAATATTCTCTCGCATATTAACTACCAAACCATGCTGTGTGCCTAGTACTGTATATATACAAACTGAATTTGAATAACCTAAAGAAGGCTTTCTCTTTTTTTAAGGCAAACAGTTCTGCTATTATTGATCACATATTTGCCAGTAAAGCAGTGGTGAATGCCGCAATTCCAGCCTATCACCTAAGAGACCTTATCAAAAGGTACATTACCTGTACTGTAAACTTGCTTTTGCATACATTTACTGTGTGAAACATTTTCCTGAATGGATTTCTATTTCTGATTTGCTTGATCATTTAGAGATTTTACTCCCTTAGAAATAAGAATCTTAGTGATATCCTATCTTGGCAGGCTTGGCATGAGAAATATGACTATTCAAATAGTTTTACAAAATGTATTTTCAGAATAATGTTGTTTTGTTCGTGGTGGATATCAGATATTAAGCTCTTCCATGTAGCTGTTTATTCACTGGAAGGTGGGTGTTGGGCCGCTGTACCTTTGGCCTTTTATATCTCTGGCAATTTTACGTATCTGATGGAAAACCAGCTTTTAAAGAGGATCTTTATTCACAAAAGATCAAATTTGCTGTTGGACTATTCAAAAAAGCTTTTTTGAATAAGGTGGTTCTTAATTATATTTCAAATTATTACCCTTGAAAACTGTCTGAGAATATAGTGTTTCTAATATTTGAATAGATTCAGGTACAATAGGTATTTGTAAAATAATGAGTATGGTTATATGTATTCTCAGATACCATGCTTTTTGGGTTTCTAGCATAATGAGCTAAAAATTAATAATTACTGTGCTAGAGAAGTGTGACTCTTTTGGTTAAGTAAGAGTATTGGAAGATTGGCAGTAACTGTAAAGATACTACCTGTGTTTATGTTTTAGCATGCTTCATGATGATCCGAGCAGAAGGATTCCTGCTGAAATGGCACTGTGCAGCCCGTTCTTTAGCATTCCTTTTGGTAAGTGGTGGGAGTCTGTATTTTTTTCCTGGTCATTTGATAATCTTATAATGTACATTTCTGAGCTCTTTTGTCTGTTACGCATCAATTTATTTGGGAGAATTTACATTTAACTTATGGTATAATGAACTTTAACAGCCCCTCATATTGAAGATCTGGTGATGCTTCCTACTCCAGTGCTGAGGCTGCTGAATGTGCTGGATGATGATTATCTTGAGAATGAAGAGGAATATGAAGGTCAGTTCTTCCCAGATTTTATTTAATGTCTTTTTCTTAACTAAGTCTAGAATAGACATATCTATTCATAAGATTCTCTTATTTTCCCAATTTATAGGAAAGTTTAATAAGGATATTTTACTATATGATCTTTAAAATACTCCTTTTCATTCTTAAAGTACTTTTGATTCTCTTATACCTCGTTTTTACTAAATTAACAGAGATTAAGTTCTCTAACAATTTGTATGTCTCTAGTCTTTATATCACCTCTCTATGGTTTTATTTTTCTTTTTTAGCTTTTGTGCTTTTCACAGCTCATTAATTTGACATTTACTGAGTATTTATTATGTGTCACTGTTGGATCATTCCCTGTTTTTAATATAGTAGAGGAGACATATATGAACAGTGACAATTGTGATCTGAAAATAAGGTAATGAGGACTGCAGGAAGGAAGGGTGCTTAGCCCAGTCTTAGTGAGCAGTTAGGGCTTCTCTGTAGAGGCTCTGTCTGACCTCTGTTCATAATTAACATTACTTGGCTAAAAGATGAAGGATTGAAGTATCACACAGACGGAGAATGTGGCACATTTAGAGAACAAGAGTTAGTATGACTGCCTTAAGATATTTGTAGGAAAGCAGTTGATTAAAGCTAAAGATGTAGCCCAAATACGGATATCTGACAGACTTGGTTGCTATGTTTTGAGAATTTGGATATTCAAGAGATAATAACACTGGAATAGTCCGCAATACGTATTTATTTTAGGAAGAAAGGAAGTGCTAGTTAAAATCAAACCACAGTATCTTTTTGTTACCTATCACAAGGACTTGACCCAGTGATGCCATTTCTGAACTGTTAACTGAGAAGTAGAAGTATGTGCTGGTTTACCCATTGTGATATTGTTTATGTCAAAAGGTTTAGAAATACTTTAGTTACTGTCAATAGGGGACCTGCTAGATAATTTACTGAACATTTGTGAAGTAAAGTACTTACACAATCATAAAAACAAATGAGAACATTTCATTTAATAATATTGAAAGCTCTGAAAAATATTATTTAATAAATCAAAACCAGGATTAAAATTCTTCCTTAAAGTGTGTAAAAACATATTTGCTTGTATATACTGATAATATTTAAGATAGCATACAGAAGAAACTGATGTCTTCAAGAGGAGGAATGGAATGGTAGTTGGGAAGGTTTGAGGAAACCCAAAGACTTTTTAATTTTTAATTATTTGAATATCACTTATGTGAAACACTAAAGTAAAAGGAAAATTACTAAATGCATTGAATTTATATTAAGCTTTATTTTTAAAAATATAGAAAATGTTCAGTTGTATATTGTGAGGTTAATAATATCCCTTAGTTTTTATGAACTGATCATGTCTGCAATCAGAATGCAATGGAATGATTTCAGGGCTCTGGGCGGATCAAAGCCCTCTCACATAATTCTTTATTCTCTCGGGGCTAAGACCAAGACCTTCTCTGGGTTGCCCATATTTATTTGGTTATCAGAAGAAGGGAAGGGTGTACTTAAGAAGGGCAGAACCCTTCAAGGACTTCTCTAAGTATGTTAATCCACTGAAGAATGAGATGTCTGAGGCTATAGTCTTTATCTGGAGATCTGATCCAGGTGTCCTTGGCTGTGATCTTGTCTTATGCTTTGAGGCTTTCTGGCTTCATCCACCACTATATTTTTAGTAGGGATTAGTGACTCACAGAGGTTCACTTACTATCAGTCCCCATTTCCAGATAAGGAGCCTAGACCTTGGACAGATTCACAAGTGAACATGAAAAGCCAATTGATTAATTTAAGTCCTGCTCAGGTCTGCTTTGTAGTGGTCTCCATCAGTATATCACTGAATCTTGATGATTTAAAAATCTCAAATAATGAGTATTACTCTAATATATTGCAGTATTACATTAACATGATTTCTCCAATATGTTTTAATCACTAGATGTTGTAGAAGATGTAAAAGAAGAGTGTCAAAAATATGGACCAGTAGTATCTCTGCTTGTTCCAAAGGAGAATCCTGGCAGAGGACAAGTGAGTCAGTGGATTCATAATTGTAGAATTATTCAGAGATTAAAATTCTGTGTTAAATATATTCTGTGGAAAGATGTACACAAAAATTTTGTTAAGAAATCAGGTTATACATTATGGATTTTTTTTTTTTGGTGTTTTTTACTTTTTTCTAAAAGTTCTATCATATACTTGCTTTTTTAAATCAGGCTTTTAAAAAAAGTATTAATCTATATTTGAGCTATTGTAAACAGTGACAGCAACTGTACTGTATTCTTATTTAGATCAAGTTCTTACAGAGAAGTATTTGGTTCAGTTTTGTCCTATTTAAGTAAAATTAAGACAGTTGGGTTAGATTCTAGTTGCAGTACTTTAAAGAGGTCAAGGATGCTGGATGGAGAATCCTAGAACCTAGAGTTCTAGTATGATTATTTTGATGAGCCTCACGTTCTTCATCTAAAAAAATATATGAGCTAAAACTGATCAATGTTTTTATAAGAAACTACAATTTTATATTATAAATTAAAGAATATGTTAAGAAAATCTTTATCTGTACTTTAATTTTTAGAGAAACAGAATATCACTTTACTTTATCTCAGAATTTCTCAATCTTGTCACTATTGGAATTTGAGCCTGGTAATTCTTTGTTGAAGGAGCTGTCCTATATATTATAGGATGTTTAGTAAATGCATCCTCAGCCTCTGCCCACTAGATATTCCTTCACCTCCAGTTGGTAAACCAAAAATTTCTCTAGGTGCTGCCAGATGTCCGTATGAGGGACAGTAGTAGAATCACCACTGATTGTGGAGTATTTTATTTTATACATTCAATGTATGAAAAATCTTGGCAACTGAAAAAATAAATTTCATTCTAGTCTTAGTGAAAAGTTACTGCTAATGTAATAATACCATTTACCTCATTCATTGTCAAGAATGTGCCAAATTTATCCTTGATGTTTAGTGTTTTAACCAGTGCTTATTGTGGTTCTATTATGTTCTAGACACTTGGCATGTAAGAGCAGTCAGAACACTGAAAAAGTGCGAAGGGGAAAAAGTAGATTGAGGAAGTGACTTAAAAAGTGTTGGGGTAGAATGTATTGCTCTTTTCCATCATTTGATAGCAAAGGGAATACTAAGAAGTTTACATTCTGGTCAAGATTTGAATGGAATAATGAAGTGAATTACAAGCAAAGGAAACCACAAGTTCTAAGTCCTTGAGAATGCCAGGCAGATTTAAGGAGAAGAGTGTGGCTACAGCAGATAAGAGTAAAGAGCTCAGGGAGTATAAGGGGCAAAGCAAGTAGAGTGAGAAAACATTGGCTATTACTGTAAATAAAAACAGGTATGGGAAGATTTTCAAGTTAAAGTTAAACGTGATCTGACTCAATATTAACCTCGGTGGTCAAAATGAAATAGAAGGCACAACAGAGAAACAGGAGTGATATTTCTAGCTGTAAGATGACATTAAAAATATGTCTTGATATTGTCAATCTGAGGAAATTTGCTGTGTTGAGAAAATTTTTTTTACTGATACAGTATTTAAAGGAAACTGGAAACAGTTTTTCCTAAACTCTTAGACCCATAGATTTAGTTTAGTCTGTTGAAAATATCTCTTACTTAGTTGATAAAGCCAGTCTTTCAATTTAGCTTTTCAGTTAAAAGAAACATGATTATTAAAGGAATATTACAAAAATCACTGGAAAATAAATTATGGATGCATCTTATAATTACAAAAACTAGTAAAGCTTAAAATGTAAAATAGTAAAGCTTACAATTAATATAATCATTTCATAATAAACAGGATGCTTTTCTTATTTAGGGTGAAACAATATAATATGTAAGGTTGTCTGTGAAGGAGGAAGAATGTGTAAAGTATGGTGTTCCTCCCCTAAATGCATGTCTCATTGAACTTTGGTGTACAGATTTGGAGTAATTAAGAATCAGGGAAAAAGTCAGAAATAGACTCATTTTCATTAGATACTATGTTTTAAATTTCCTTTAGTATGTAATGAAAAAGCAAATATTGCTTAAGATCAGTCCTGTAGCCAAGTATACTTTTATTTTGTAAAAAAATTATTTTAGGGCTGGGGATATAGCTCAGTGGCACAGCACCTGCCTGGAAAGCACAAAGTCCTGAGTTTGATTCCCAGTACCCCCCAAAAAATTATTTTAAAGATTAAGGAAAGAGAATTAATTAATATATTTCATGACAGTTTTGATAATACAGATTTTTAACTGTCTTATATGAAATATACCTACTCTGAAAGCAGTCACATACAGTTTTATATTTTCATCATTTACACTTAAATAACTAGACTATACTGTCTTGGCCATTTGGAAGAGCATTTATTTCCAGTTAGTGGCACATTTTAGGATGGGTTTGTTTTTTGTTTTTTTTTTTTAAAGAGTAAAAGAAGGATAATATAGTAATGGGGAGCTTACTGAATTACAGACAGAGGGGTAGAAAATTATCAATGGTTGTTGTTTTACATATTGTTATCTACAACATAGTTTCTCAGGAAAACAAATAGACAACTAATAGTGAGTTACAGACAGAAGTGGTAGGTTTTCATCAATGGTTATTGTATTTGGTATCTTCAAAGTGGTTTCTAAAGAAAATAAATAGAGCTATACATGAGTGACCAATTGAATGTTCATTGACTGTTCTCAATGGTTGTTATAGGAAACACATAGTAATAAACGTACATCCATTTATGAAATAGCATAGGAACAATACAAACATTATAGAGTTATGGACAGATTCGTAGGAAAATATCAATGGCTTCTGTAATACATGGTGGTATCTTCAAAGTGGTTTCTCAGGAAGAGAGAGATACGCTAGAAAGATCTAACAAGTAGTTACAGCCTAAGGGTTGTGAAAAATAGGGTATTACCTCCTCACCAGTGACTCTTTTCACTAGAAGGGTTTAGGATGGGTTTTAAGAATAGATGACAGATGCTACTTATCTTTATACATGTGTAAAAGGAAGTTTTTCACATGAGATGATCTTGGCTTTGTTTTTAAGAGCCGCAAAAAGTGATGGAATGGAAGAGGCAGAATCTGCTCCACCCATCCAGTTTTCAGTATACTGTATATGAATTCAGAAAGCCTTGTCATGGGCCAAAATACTCTAAGTCTAATATCCTTTATCATGCTCAGCAGCAATACTTGCCTAAGACAGAGAATGACCAGTCATTGGCAGGGGATGGGACTTTATTTATCAATAAAGGAGAATTTCATAAAAATAGGTTACTGTATTAGAAATTTTATCTTCTTATAGCCTGGGAAGTTTGTATACCCTGAAATAATTTTTTTTCAAGCTAGAGAACTGGAAAATTAAAAAGGATAATTTTCCCAAACTTGTAGGTAGGTTGATTTTAGGAAAAATGGATGAAGGATACACTTGAGGAAGGAGGGGAAGTTTTTGTCACATTCACCAGTTTATAGGGTAACTGGGAGGAAGTCTTTCCTGAACTTTTAAGTCAGTAAAAAGAACTTGTAAATTATTGTGTTGTATCCTTTCTGTACCTCAGGTTAGAATTGAGAAGCTCTGGAAAAGGAAACTGCCTAAGTTTGAACTTCTTCCTTACTACTAGTTATGGTTTATAGTTGCTCCAGATATTTTAATAATTTCAAATGGGGTTTTGACCAATACTTTTTCCTTGGTCAAATTCAAAAAGAGTTGCTTATCTTTGAGTCACTGCTGAAATGGAATTGCTCTTTGCACTATTCAGAATTACTTCAGCAGTGTAGTGCTGTTAATCATTTCATATGTTTCTTAATGACAGGACATATTCTGAGAAGTTTTTCCAGGTCCATTGTAATCTTACGGGACTTGTGTCTTATACTGTCCATCATTGGCCAGTATACTGTTGTTCATTGCATGACTGCATGTACATTAAATTTGGCAAAGTGCTGATGTTGGTGGAAATGAAATGACTGTTTTTTTCTGTTCTTTTTCAGGTCTTTGTTGAGTATGCAAATGCTGGTGATTCCAAAGCTGCTCAGAAATTACTGACTGGAAGGATGTTTGATGGGAAGTTTGTTGTGGCTACATTCTACCCATTGAGTGCCTACAAGAGGGGATATCTGTATCAAACCTTGCTTTAATTGGTAACCTAAGGACTATTTCTTGTTTCTCCTCTTCCATTTCCTGGATCATTGTATTCTACATCTGAAAGCAGGAGTACCCTTGTACCATTTTAAAGGGTACTTTGTACATTTATTTAATCCTACAAATGTGCAGTCATTGCCCTAGCAATGTTGCATTACAGACATTTGGCACCGAGTAGGACAAGACCTCTCTGCTATACATTGAGGGGTTGTAGAGCATCCATGTGGGCAACCTTGTTTCGTGCAGTAGGGCAGGTGCTGCTCTTCCGTGTGTAACCTCCAAAGACATTATTATTTCATGTGATCATGAAGCAAAGATGAATAATATGTCATAGTGAATATTATTAACAAATTTAAGGTTGGTGACATCAATTACAGATTATTCCCTTTTGTTGTCAGGTGGTTATTATTGTTGAAATCCATAACTGGCACTGGATGCTCTCAGTAATATTAAGTAATTGTCAAGCAGCAGTTACCTACTGTGTTCTTAACACTGAGTTGTGAATTTTTTTAAAGGAGTACTGTAGTACCTAATATTCCTTTAAAGAAACTGCAGTGAGCCTATCTGCATTTTTAAATTATTATTAAGGCTTTTAAAGTAGAAAGCTGATGCTTGATCTTGCACAATTTTTATGTCTAGTATGTTTGCTTGAGTGAGTGTGCAGGTTGAAAGATTAGAGAAAATTTGAGTCAGTGTACTTTATAATGCGAATCTTGTGAGCCAATACAGTCTATACCCATCTCTTCCTTCCCTGTTTCACACCTGTAAGATTGAAGATATATGTATTTTGAGAGTTGATGTGTCTAATAGAATGTAAATGATGAAACAGTTCATTCCTGAGAGCCTCCGAACAAACTGGAGAAGAGACCAGGGTTACACTGAAACTCTTCAAGTGGTTGGAACAAAGAAGCAGTTTTGGTACATGTAAATGATCCCATTCTTCAGTCTACTTTAGGACCTGGATTGGCTCATCTTTTTGTACTGAATCTTCTATGATAATTATAAAATTTCTCAAGATGTGCTTCTACCTATTATGATAGAAAATTGAGATAGATTAAAAAAGTAGTTGTACATTGAAGGGGAAAGAAATAGGGCAAAGAGTATCATCAAGGATCCTTGTTTTCTTCTTTGCTGTCTCTTGTGCCTCTCCCTCACCTGCCTTTCCCCTTCCCCTATTCTCTGCCTCTGTCCTTAGCTGAAGAGAAGCCAGAGGAACAGCATCCCAAGTGGTCTAGCTTTTGACTGTATGGAAGTAAAGAAAGGTGTAGATATAATAAGGTAGAAGTAGAAAGAAAAAAAAACTCAGTTCTTAAAAGGATTCCTAGCAATCCAATGCGTCTGAGTAGAGAATGCCAGTATGCATGAATTTGTGGATGCAGGTTGATTACATGGTTTTAAGAATTCTTAGTATGAATCCTCACCATATAGTAGATTGTTTTTAAAGTTATAAAAGCAAGAAATCTTTATAAAGCACTGATTATACAAAAAGACAAGTTATATATATGTTATGAATTTTTTTTCCTATTTCTTTACCTGAATGAAATTATTTATTTTTTCCTAAGGAAAAAGTCTTTTATATCTTTTCCTGCTGGAGCCTCCTCATAGTCTTTGTGTGTGCCATGCAGATTACTGAGAGCCTGATTAGAATTTGCATGTTCAAACAATCACTGTTTTGACATTTTAGTTATTATAATAATCAGAATTGTTTAGGACTCTCCCTTAATATTTATTATGAAGCCAAATTTGGTATAAGGAGGCTGATTTACGAATTACCAAAGGGCCTTTAGCATGGTCCCCAGTATGTGCCCTTAGAAAGAAAAACTGTTATTTTTTATTTTGCCCTTTGAAGGGTTGGTTGGTTACTGGTTAAATCAGAATTCAAGAGAGTAGAACCAATATTTTGAAGACCTAATCTTTCCATAAATATTTATATTGGTAACTGCATTTGTGGTAATTAGAAATAGCAGATTCTTATATACCTACTGATAAACACAAAATAAAGGTGAATTTTTTTAAGGGCAAGAATTTGAGGTTAGCACATGTATTTCTTCTCCTGACTGATAGGGAAAAGAGAGAGAAGCCCTTGAAAATAAACTGCAGGTAGGCTTCTGAGCTTAGTCATGCAGTATGCTGCTAACATTGATGCTGCACTTCCCAGCATTCTTTGATCATCATCTTCTTGCAGATGTATTCATACATATATGTAGTGTGTAACACTGTAGAATTTTATTACAGAAGATACTAACTAGATTGTAAGGGAGCTGAGGGAGAACTGATGAGCCTGAGTAACCATGATGGAGTTAAATATTTTATATTAAAGCCACAAAATTGAAAAAAGATGCCTATGATTTAAATTGTCATTTTATAGCTTTTATCCCATTCTACCAAAGATGACATCTGCAGGTTCTTCCTCCTTTTTGTTATTATCAGAAGTTTAATTTTAATGTCTTTCTTAAACTGGAGCCAAATATTATTAAAGATGCAGTTTTTATGATTCTTCTAGGATGGAATATTTACACAGGAATTTTGATTCCTTGAAATTACTGAAAAACTAGAGATTTTCTTGAGAGGCAGGGTAAAGAGGTGAGGGTTCATATCACTTAACTCCAACCATTTGGGGCAAATTTTATCTCAGGTAGTTTATTTTTCCCTAAATTATTATCTGTGCTTTCTTCCCAATTTCTTCCTTATTGTTCCATGGTATTGCCATGGTGTATTCTGCCCCAGAAAAGGCATATAAAATGATTATAGGAAATTTGGTTTCTTTAGAAACATGTCTTGAAGTAGACGTGAGCTAGCTACTATCAGAATTATAGTGCTGTATTTAGAAAAGAACAAGAAGAGTGAAACAGCTCATTAAAGATAGCATTAGCTTAAAGTAAGTACAGTACTGGCTACATTTTAAAGAAATTGAAATAGATTGTCCTCTTGCAAGAAGAGATCTTCATTTAGTACCCCTGGGTATCTTCCTTGTTGTTGGTCTTGGCCAGCAGCACAGTAGCTGTCTTCAAAGTAATTCCTTTTCTGCTATCTTGAGCCAAAATTATGGCTTCCTCTAGGACGAAATCCATACATATAGTCGTACTCAAACTTTTCTGTTTTGAGAGAAGTATGGCTACTTTTTTGGTACTGCCACTGCTAAGGAGTGCTGAGATACGTTAACCAGCTGGTGATAGTGCTGCCATGTAGAGGAAGTTGAAAAAAACCTGGGTGTAATATTTATTTCTATCTTATTACACTGGACTTTTCCCCCAGTAAGGGCATCAGTTTTCTGGAATAAATGAAAGGCAGAGGTAGAGCAGTCATCAGGTTCTGTTTCTTGGCTCTTTTGAGTTCATTATTTTTTATGATGCAATGAAAATCAGCCCCATAGTGACTGATAGTAATTAGAACAATGGTTACTGGACAAGGGAGCTAAGGAGACATTCCGTAAGATACCAGACTCTCATACAAGGGTATATGTAGGTGGCTTTATTCAGATTAGGGCACAGATGGAATCACATGATGACCTTTAGTCTGGTGGATGTGTAGATAAAAATTTGAGCAAGTGCCTTGTTTTTCCTGGAAAATATTAAAACTTATTTGGGAGAAACCTTCCCAGATGATGATTAATTGCACCTCTGCCTTTTTCTTGGAACAACTATTGGATTGAGTCACATAAGATAAAAGTCCAAAATTTCCTTAGTGATTTTTTTTGAATGTGTAAAACTGTTCATATTTGATTTTATTCCAGTATAATGGAAGAGCCACTTATTAGGCAGAATATAATTCTGTGGATCTAGTTCCAGTTCTGATGTCAGGTTCCTTCCTCATATCTTACTCCTATAGTTCTGTAGTAGCATTTATTTGTTAAGTTTAATCACGTACAGACCATTGCTTGGTAACAGCTCAAAAGAATTTCATTTCTTCTTAAGGTGCTCAGTAAATCACCTTTATTTTGAGATAAGGCATCTTTCAAGTTACCACCCACAGTATCACTTAACTAGTTTTCTCAGTGATATGCACATGTTAAGTTGCCATCATTTGGAGCTCCTCTGAGCCTCCTGTGGTATATTTAGTTTTTACATGGTTAATTAGGAACATGGACATTTTACTTTTTAGAGTACCCAGAATTTTAAAAGATTTGATGTTGTTTCAGTTTAGCTTCTTTACCTGATACCATATACAGGATATCATGTTTATAATTCTGGGCACTTTCCCCCTACTTTATGTTTTTCATTGTTATTTAAATTTTATGCTTACCAGTGACATGCAGTTGACAAATATTATGGATGTTTAAGGAGGTTAATAATTTTAACTATTTTTGCTGTAGTTTTATAGGATAAACAACTGTAAAAATTTATCTATAAACCAGAGAGCATTTAGGAAATTTTATATTTTATAGGTGGTTATTAGGGTGATCTTCAGGATATGATACAGAGTTTACACAAACTTTGTTCTCTTGGTATGAAGTTTGTATTCATTTTCCTATCACTCAGCACTTTTGTTCTTTGTACTGCTTATGGTGATTATTTTAAATTTGCTTTATTTGTGCTTTGCAGAGAATTACAATCATGGCAGTTATACTTCTGGTACCATAAATAGTGAAATTCATGGGAAAACTATCCAACAGTTGCCTCAGTATTATTTCCCACTAAATTGGCTAGCTGCCACGATAACCTGAAAAATATTGATGGCTCAATTGAAAGCCATTTATGTTTTATGGACTAAGTTCATAGTATTGTAATTTAAAGGCAAAGAGAAGCATCCTTACTTGCCTTATATGACCATTAATTTTTGTTTCACAGAAGAGAACTAATTTTGTTAAACTATTTTGTATACTGACAATGGCACATTCTGGGGGAAAAAAATTGAATGGTTCATTTTATTTTTTGCTGCTTTTTGGAAAACCCTTATAGTAAAAATCAGAACTCCTTGCTACCATCAGGTATTGATTGTCGATGAGAATTATTTGTGGCCACTTTTTTTTTAAATCCCAAGTTGAACTCTCCTTCCTGTTGTAGGTTACGTACCCTTAGTAATATTCATGCTATCAGGACATGAGTGTAAAGAAAGCAAATGTATTGAGGTATTCTGAAATCATGCATGTATGGACTCAAAATCTCTTCAGTCATTTGAAATATCTATAGCTGTTTTACTTTATTGGCATGGGTTTTCAAAAGACTGCTAAGTTTAATGATGAGCAGAAAGATTGGGGATGAGAAGAAAATGGCTCCCTTATTGACATTAGTAATCTTCCACGTGGCTAATGGTTTTAAAATGTTTATTTTTGAAGCTGCAGATTTCATACCTGTAGTATAGAAACATTGCCTTTCCTACACATTCCTTATTATTTCCCAGAAAATTGTTGTAAGAGTTTATAAAACCAGATTAAATATCCATATTTGATTTATCCAACTTTTAAGAGTAAATATTTGAATTCCAGCTTTTGTATATTTGGTGTTCATTGCCATTCATGTACATCAAGGATCAGAAAGAAACTGGAGGTTAACCATGTTTCCCTTTGCACGTTGGGTGCAGTGGGTGGCATTAGTATGCACTAGCTACAAAGTTACTGCACCTTATGGAACTAAGTAGGGTTTATTTATTGTAATAAAAAGTTAAACTGCACTTCTATATATTACTTACTTTGCAGAGTGTAAAGCCACATCTTTTCCAGCAGGATTTACTCTGTCATTCTTAGCTCTTTTTTGAAAAATCTTAAATCATGTAACATTCCTTAATATCCTCTTAACAATGTCAAATCTGGGGTAGAAGGGATTTTTCCCTCCAAAAGGGCTTCAGTTTTGCTATGTTTTAGTCACTTAGAAATCCAGTTATGATCAATAAATTCTAAGTTTATGGCCTCTTGTGTCAGCACTGAAGTGGTGGGTTACAGTATTGAAACCTACTACTCTTTTCCCTTACGAATATGTAATTGTTGTGCTTTTGATAAGAAGGTTTGGTTAGGAAAAAAAATGTGAAAGGTCACTTAAACCAAAGCCAGTTATAAGGAGTATTTTCTCCTGTTGGTTTACCTTCACCTCAGAATTATAAGAACATCACAATACACAGTGAATAGTTGTCTATAACATTTCTACCAGTTGTTTCAATTGGTCTTGGCATTTCTTGGCACTATGGTTCTATGTTCTTTGTGATGTCTTATTGTTTGTGAGGGTTTTTTTTTTTTTAATACCTAAGTGGGACTGTAAGTGTAGATATGCGTCAGTACCAAGAAGTTCTGTTTTCAAATCTCTAAATTTCTGTTTTTCAACTTGTTTTTTTCTTGCTGAGTAGCAAAGGACTTATATTTTTCACTTTCCTATATATCTAAAAGTATGAACACTGCGTTTCAATGGACTGTATTGTGTACTTTTTGCTGAGAACTTTTTTCTGTAAACACAATTGCCTTGTTCAGTTTTGTTGTAAACTGATTTATCATAAGATGCACTGTTGATATGCTTTCTGATGTGTGTTTGATAAGAGTGATAAAATAAAACTTAAAAATAAAGAAATTGCCTTTTATGTATTTCTATACTTACTATAAGTATTCAAGTTCAGATAATAGGGAGATACATTTATGATTTAATTGTTACCAAAATCATCATTGAAAAGATTTTTGTAGTTTCATCTGTTTCTGAAGAACATGATTTTTTACTTATGGAAAAAGTGAATCAAATTGATAATATTGAAATAAAAATTTTCACTTTGGATAAATATCCCAGATGTTGCAGAAATAGTCTGGACTAGTGAAATTCACAGTCGGGACTTGTGATCTCATCTTGGCTTTTTTTTTTTAATCAAAATCTTGGCTTGGGGGCTGGGGATTTAGCTCAGTGGCACAGCACTTGCCTGGCAAGCGCGAGGTCCTGAGTTTGATTCCTGGTACCGGAAAAAAAAACAAAACAAACAAACAAATAAAATCTTGGCTTTAATCAAGTGACTTAATTTTGACAGTATTTGTGTTTTGAAGACCAAATGAGATGGTAGGTACAATAGTAATAATAAACAGGTATCAGGTATGGAGTATCGATGAGGTGAATGGATATTATTTTTCATAGTTATGTCATGTTTAATGTTTCCTTTTCACATACAGGAAGTGAGACTCAACATTTCATAAAGCTTGCGGTACACTGGCATCCAGATGATGAATTCTAGATTAAGACATTGTTAGAATGGATATGCTAAGAGACTGGTTTCAGAGCTCAGCCTAGAGACTAGGAGTGTTTAAATAAGCAGTTTTTATACTCTAGCATATAACAATTAGCTGGGAGGGCTTGGTGGAATACAAATTGCTGTGCCCCAGCTCTAGAGTTCCTGACTGTAGTTCTTTGTGAGGTCTGAATGTTAGGTTGCGGCGAGTCTGAATACCACAGTTTGGCACTTGTCTAAATTCAGGATAGGTTGTGGGACTGAAATGCAGATGCAGGTCTAGTTAGAGAACTATTTGGGAATCATTCTCAGTCTTTCTCCCTGATAGTTGCATTTGTAACTATCTGAACATTATTTTCCACCAGATGCTGTACTAAATGCTTTTATACATTATCTTCTACCACCATCACATATAATTTTCACAAGCCTCTGAGGAAGATAACTAGTATTCACTCCCTTTTACAGTTGAGGAAATGGATGTTCAAATTAGCTCAATTCGTATGATTTGCACGGTGAGTAATGAATGTCTAGCTCTGTAGTTGTACTTTTTTTACCCCTATGCTAGAGTCAATCCAGAAATTCCTTTTAGCTCTGTCTTCTCTTTTTTTCCTCTGATACTACTTAGTTTAGTTCTTGAACTCTCCCTAGTACAGCTTCTTATAAGATCCCCCACCTTCTACCTCATGCACCTTAATCTCTCCTTCAAATTGCTTACATTTTTCATTCTTAAAAATAAGCATATATCCTGCTACTCCCTGCTTTAAAATTCTTCATTTTGTTTCCCATCTCTTCTGCCCATTTGTTTCAAAGTAATAATCTAATTCCCTTAAATTGGCATAGAAGACCATAGTCAGGTTTGATCTGTCAGTCCTGCCTCATCTGTCTCCTTTCCTATCTCTGCTTCATATTTCAAGTGTATTAAACTATCTGTATTTCTGTAAGTTCCGTGGTTTTTCTTGTGCCTCTTATCAAAATGCCTTTCAAGTCTGTGTCCCCCACCATATCTGTGATGAAATTCTATTTTTAATTTCCATTAGCTCATTGTCATCTTTCTGCCTTTCTTATAACACCACCTCCACCCCCACCTCATTATGGCCATGCCTAGGCTATAGTAAAAATACTTTCAAAACATACTTGTGGAGTTGAAAATGAACTTAGAGAATCTGGCAGCCAGTTGGGTGTGGTTGATACCAATATTTCAAAGAATGACAGTTTAGTAGTTTACTTCAATCAACCATATATAATGCAAAAGAATTTATACAGTTATAAAATGTAACCTATTGATACATGAATATTATTGGCAATTGATTATTTTACAAAGGAATTTTCAATTTAAAAATGTGAGTTTTGTTGTATCTTATAGTTCTATTACTATTCTGCAATTTTGAAAACGAATTTTTGACTTACAGATTAGAACATGAGGGAGCTGCAATGCGTAATTACTAGAACATTTCCAAAAGCCATGTTTTACCCCATGTACAAGTACAAATTGTATATAATGCCTTTATATATGTTTCAACATCTTTACATGTGAAATAATAATCCTCACTTTCGTTCAAAGGAAGTGGATGATGGAAGGCTGCATTTGTGTGCACCAACTAAATTACATGTTTCCCAATTTGAAGATCTGGCAAGAGCCTCTATGACAAGGATCTCTGAACAAGGCTATTCAACTGAGATCAGTTTGTAAAGCAGTGAGACATGTTGATGTTTTTGCTTGAAAACATTTACCAGACCAGCAGCAAAAATTACTGCTATATAATTAGAACATTTAGATTTAGGTAAATTAAAGAAAGTTGAGGTTTTTCTATAACCTTTGGAAGACATAGTTCACAAAAGAGAACTGCACTTTAGGTGAAAATGAGCTGTCAGGGTAATGTACTTGGTCACTTCAGTGGCTGCCTGAGTTTTATACACTTAGCAGAAGAGAGCCTAATGTGCCAGTGTGCTTGTTTTTTGTTTAAAAAAGATAAACCACACGTTTTGTTTTTTACATATATGTTTGTATGTACATTAAAACATGTTCAAATACAATGTTGTAAGAGAAAGGATCAAAAATGTGGAGGCTCATCTTGTAAAGAATGGAGTCAAAGTTCATTTAAGCAGTAATTGAACAAGTAGAAATGAGAAGATAGTGTTTATTAGTGTTTAGTCCAACATTTCCTAAGCTATCCTTAGGACACTGGCATGCTGTACAATATGAAGAGAAGCTTTGAGGAGTGAGATAGGCTGAGAATGATCCATGATTAAGTAACATTGTGAATATGCTGCATATTTTCCCCCAGTTTTCTCAAGAAGTCAGGAGTCAATTGGAACTGGTGAAAGATTTGGAAGAATAGGGCAAGTTGATGCCAATATATCCTTCACCTTGTGTTAACAATTTTGTCACAATTTCTTTCTTGCTGTCTCCCCTTTATGTATATAAATAAACTTTTTTTCTGAACCACTTAAAAATTCCACATATCATGAAACTTAACTGCTAAATAGTTCAGTATAACTTCTAGGAATAAAACAGTCTTGTATACGGTAATAGTAATCTTTATCACACCCACAGAATTAAACATTGATACAGAAATATCTAATTACAATAAATTTTCCCAATAGTGTCTTATAATGTTTTTATAACTTGTTTGTTTTGAACCCAGGACCCAGTTAAGGCTCTTGTTTTCAAACTATGTATTGAGACTTTATGGAATGTTAGTGATACAGTTTGAGAAAAAACTTTTTTTTGGTCTTTTTGAGACAGGGTTTCCTTATGCAGTTCAGGCTGGCCTTGAGCTCACTTTGTAGCCCAGGCTGGTCTCAAACTCACAATGTTCCTCCCGCCTCAGCCTCCAGAGTGCTGGGATTACAAGCATGCACCACCATGCCCAGCGAGACAAAACTTAATTGTAGGTTTAAATCCATCTTTTTGTAATTTACAAATGCTAACACTCCTTATGTATATTTTCTTTTTTTAGAGGAAACTGTTGACTACACTGTGTGCTTTATCTTTTGTATTCTCAGTTGTGCTTGCAGGGTGTCTTAGTCACCTGCTTTGTTGCTGAGACACAATACTGAACATCTAGAACTTAAAGGAGGAGAGGCTTATTTCGGCTCAGGGTTATAGTTCCTGGTTAGCTGGCTGCAGGGCAGAAAGGGCATGGTAGAGGACAGTTAGCACATCATGGAGGTCAGGAAAGCAGGAGAGGAGGGAGAGCCAGGGAATGAGATCTCCTCAGTGACCCACCTCCATCCTAACAGCATGTCAGCTATGAACCTATCAGAGGACCAATCTTCTGATGGATATAGTGGTCTATGATCTAGCCACCTTCCAAACACATGCAACTTTGGGGGAGACTTCAGCTCCCAACCATAACACGGGAAAACCTGAATACCTTGACAAAATAGCCAATAATGCTAAAACTTAACTTTGTGCCTTGGAATTTTAATACATACTCTCAATGGTATACAGATTTAAGATAACTTTATTTTTAATGGTATTTTTAATTATATATTATAAATTGCAAGCTCAAGAAAATTGGGGGGTGGTATTTTTTTTTTTTCCTTTTTGGTGTGTATGTGTGTTTGTCAATAAATACAAGTTTTGGGGCAAGGAGATGGAATGGTTAAAATTGCAGTCATTTCAAAGCCTAAAATTAAAAAATATATATATTTTAAAGGCATGTGTGACTTTAAGGAAAGGAACATGTATGATCCAAAGAACTATCATAATTTGCAAATGTTCTAGTTATCATTTAATGAAAAACAAACTTTTTTATTACATAAAATTCCATGACAAATAATGTTTAACACATGTTTGGAAATAATCCCAGGCCAAATCCCTGGGCCACTGTGATTTAGAAAGTGTGGTAAAATTTGTGACTCTGTGGCATTCTAGTCCTTACTTGTAGCTAAACTGAGACATCATTCCCAATTTCTTCAGCAAAATTAGTAGAGTTATTTAAATTGTCCACTGGTAATTGTTTTTTCTGATAGAAAATGGAAAAAAACTGAGCCTGAATATTTTTACACATCTGGGATAACTATGTCTGATTTGCCTGTGGCAGTTTCTTTACTGATGTCTGTCATTACTCGTAGTTTTATTAATTACATTTACACTCCTTAATTGTACTTAATTGTACAATCCTTCCCAAAAATTTGCGAAAATTCTCTAGCTACAACACTTGAAGGATCATTGCTGTGCCCCACCCACCAAAAAGTCTCCAGAACAATTTTAATATCTAGGTAGCTTGCTGTCTAAATAACCATAGCCATTCTCCTTCAACTTCTACCTGTATGCCAAACACAGGCAGGTGTCTGTTTTGTCTCAGCCATTCCCTTTTTTTTATCTACCACACACATATACCTAACCAAACTGGAT